TACATTTTCAGTTCAAGAGACCACCCCAACCAAATCCTATTCCTTAGTCTTGAGGTAAAAGATAGAGGAATGGAAGATGTGACTGACCAGCTTGGAATTGGACGGTCCAATTAACCATAACGTAGTAGTGGGAGGCGGTGTGCAGGGCCTTGCAGTATAGCAGTGGTTGCTGAGAGTCCCCCTTGTGGTTGAGGCTGCTGTTCTCAGAGGAGAGGATGGGCAGGTACCTTGGCCAGGGCCATGACAAACTCCAGGCTCTGGAGGGTTTTGCGCAGAGGCCTCATGGTCACACTGTAGGGGGAGCTCAGGTGTTAGGTGGCGGGTTAGGATCTCTGGAGGGTTTTGCGCAGAGGCCTCACGGTCGCACTGTAGGGGGAGCTCAGGTGTTAGGTGGCGGTTAGGATCGATGCATCCCTAGGTTCTCTTGAGATATTTCCATGCTGTTAGGTGGAGCCCAAGCGAAATCTCTTTCCTTTTTAAATTAAATATGCATAGCATACATTTTACCTTTTTAATCCTTTTTGAGTCTAAAATTCAGTGTCATTAGGTATATTCACCATCCATTTCCAGAACATTTTCTTTTTTTTTTTTTTTTGAGACAGAGTCTTGCTCTGTTGCCCAGGCTGGGGTGCAGTGGCCGGATCTCAGCTCACTGCAAGCTCCGCCTCCCGGGTCTACGCCATTCTCCTGCCTCAGCCTCCCGAGTAGCTGGGACTACAGGCGCCCGCCACCTCGCCCGGCTAGTTTTTTTTGTATTTTTTAGTAGAGACGGGGTTTCACCGTGTTAGCCAGGATGGTCTCGATCTCCTGACCTCGTGATCCGCCCGTCTCGGCCTCCCAAAGTGCTGGGATTACAGGCTTGAGCCACCGCACCCGGCCATCCAGAACATTTTCATTGTCCCAAACTGTTTACTCTGAACCCCATTAAATAATAACCCTACCTTCTCCCCACCACTGGCCCCTGGTAATCACTGTTCTACTTTCTGTCTCTATGAATTTGACTACTCTAAGTACTTCATGTAAGTAGACTCATAATATTTGCCTCTTTTTGTCTATTTTAACATAATATTTTCAAGGTTTGTTCGTGTTGCAGCATGTATCTGAATTTTATTCCTTTTAGTGGATAAATCATATTTCATTGTATGTATATACCACATTTCATTTATCCATTCATATGTTATTCATTTTCTACCTTTTGACTATTTTGAATAATGCTATCAGTCCCTTGTCCCATCCCCCCCGCCCCCATTTTTTTTTGAGAGTCAGGGTCTCTATCACCCAGGCTGGAGTGCATTGACTCAGTCATGGCTCACTGCAGCTTTGAACTCCTGGGCTCAAGTGATCCTCCCGCCTCAGCCTCTCAAAGTGCTGGGATTACAGGCGTGAGCCAACATGCTTGGTTCGTTTTTAAAGTATAGATGAGATTGCTTAGAATCAGGAAACTGTTTGGTTAATGAAAAAGACCTTAATGAAAGCAATTAGTCAACTTTTCATTTGAAGGAAATTGCCAGCTGGAGAGTGAATGCTGGTGCACATCACATACTTTAGCTTTTTCTTTCTTTTATAAATGATGAGTTTTGCGGTAGCTCAGTATGGCTATTTAATCCTGAAGGTGTTTATTACAATAGTGGATTTGAAATAGAAGCGCTCTTAAATTTTTTTTAGGTTTTTGCTATTTTTTATCTTTTGTCGGTTGAGATGCATGACTTGTATGACTGACAATAGCTAAGTGATGAATACGTGAATGGGGAGCTTAAAGTCATTGCCTACATCAGCAGATCTCAAACTTTTTGGTCTCAAAATATATTTTGAAGACCTTAAAGACTTTTATTTATATGATTATATCTGTAGGTACTTACCATACTAGAATTAAAATTGGCAAATTTTAAGATATTTATTCATTAAAAATATCAATAAACCTATTATATTAACATAAATAATATGTATTTATGAAAAGTAACTGCATTTACCAAAACATGATAATTAGAAGAGTAGCATTGTTTTTTTTTTTTTGTTTTGTTTTTTTTTTTGTTTTGTTTTTTTTTTTTGAGATGGAGTCTCGCTCTGTTGCCCAGGCTGGAGTGCAGTGGCCAGATCTCAGCTCACTGCAAGCTCCGCCTCCCGGGTTCACGCCATTCTCCTGCCTCAGCCTCCCGAGTAGCTGGGACCACAGGCGCCGCCACCTCGCCCGGCTAATTTTTTGTGTTTTTAGTAGAGACGGGGTTTCGCCGTGTTAGCCAGGATGGTCTCGATCTCCTGACCTTGTGATCCGCCCGTCTCGGCCTCCCAAAGTGCTGGGATTACAGGCTTGAGCCACCGCGCCCGGCCGAAGAGTAGCATTGTTTTAGACTTTTGCAAGTATCTTTAGTATCTGGCTTAGAAGATAGCCGATTCTCATATTTACTTCTTCACTCAGACTGTGTGAGATACTACGCTGGAAGTACATGAAGAAAATCTGGGCTGGGTGTGGTGGCTCATGCCTGTATTCCCAGCACTTTGGGAGGCTGAGGCGGGTGAATCACGAGGTGAGGAGATCGAGACCATCCTGGCTAAAAATACAAAAAAAAAAAAAGAAAAAAAGAAAAAAAAAATTATCTGGGCGTGGTGGCGGCGCCTGTAGTTCCAGCTGCTCAGGAGGCTGAGGCAGGAGATTGGCGTGAGCCCGGGAGGTGGAGCTCGCAGTGAGCCAAGATCACACCACTGCACTCTAGCCTGGGTGACAGAGCGAGACTCTGTCTCAAAAAAAAAAAAAAGGAAAAAAGAAGAAAATCTGACCTCCCACAGATAGACAGTTGGGAAATTTTTCAGTAGCCTTTTTAGAAAATTGTAGATGCTCTTCTTTGATATTACACCAAAACTTGACAAGTGGCAGTTTCCTAACGGTTAGTTGTGATGTGGCATCTGAAGCTGTGCCATCCTCTGTTACATTAGAATATTTTAGTTTATTTTGCACTTTAGGTGGATCTTTTACCCATATATGATTTCGTAACATCATGGTTCACTGAGTTGTGCAGATCTTCCAAGTAAATGTCAGCATATGACATTATGCAATATAAATCACACTCGTTCTTGTCACTGCTGATCTCATTAGAAAAGTGTCAAGTATGAGGAGGCAGTAAGCGCCTATGGGGTGGATACAAAGTTTCAAAAATTCTTTTTTCACTTGGACACTCAACTTCTATTCTTGGCCACAAGTGCTGTCAGTTGTTTACCTTGAAGTGATGAGCTCATGTGTTCATTCTTGAGAACATGTCTGCCAGGTACTCAAGTCTCAGTCATTGCAGTTTGCAGTAAAGATAGTACTGAGTACAACAGGTGGCTTCGGGTGGCTTGGAACTCAAACACTCACAGAGTGATTTTTCTCTAGACGGCCGTGGGACTTCGTGTGCAGGAGGGCTTCATGTGTGCTTCCCATGTCATTCAGTGGGATGTTAAAAAGGTGTGTCTTGGCCTGGCGCGGTGGCTCATGCTTGTAATCCCAGCACTTTGGGAGGCCGAGGCGGGCGGATCACGAGGTCAGGAGATCAAGACCATCCTGGCTAACATGGTGGAACACCCCGTCTCTACTAAAAATACAAAATATTAGCCGGGCGTGGTGGCGGGCGCCTGTAGTCCCAGCTACTCTGGAGGCTGAGGCAGGAGAATGGCATGAACCCAGGAGGCAGACCTTGCAGTAAGCTAAGATTGCGCCACTGCACTCCAGCCTGGGCGACAGAGCAAGACTCCGTCTCAAAAAAAAAAAAAAAAATGGTGTGTCTTCAAAGGTTGAGATTTAAGAAAAGCGATGATTTTTTATTGCTTCGTCAAAGACAAAGGAGTTTTTTTTTTTTTTGGAAGGAGTCTCATTCTGTCTTCCAAGCTGGAGTGCAGTGGCGCGATCTCAGCTCACTGCAACTTCTGCCACCTGAGTTCAAGTGATTCTTGTGCCCCAGCCTCCTGAGTAGCTGGGATTATAGGCACATGCCACCATGCCTGGCTCATTTTTGTATTTTTAGTAGAGATGGCCATGTTGGCCAGGCTGGTCTTGAACTCCTGACCTCAGGTGATCCGCCTGCCTGGGTCTCCCAAAGTGCTGGGATTACAGACGTGAGCCACTGTACCCAGCCCAAGTGTTTTTTTGTTTGTTTGTTTGTTTTTTTATTTTTTTTTAACAGAACAAAACTCTTATGGTGAAGGATATCATGACCGCTAGTTTGGTGTCACTGCCTTGATTCGTGCTAAGATGCTAGCAGTTTTACCCTGGCATTTACACCATTAATGCAGGAAAAGGTGAATAATGTCTTAGCATTCTGAAAATAGTTTGGGCCTTGCACCTTGGGCCTTGTGGGCTCCCTGAAAGGAGGAGTTTACATCCCCAGAGGCTAAGATCATCATCTACAAACTGCTGACCTAAGCCAGTATTCCAGTCTTGCGGGTATCAGAGGAAAAATCAAGTCAACCATCATCCTAGAAGGAAAGGGCATGGTGGGGAGTCAGCACCTGAACTTGTATTTACACCGGCCTAGCCTCGGCATCTGGCGTCCTTTGTACTAACAGCATAAACATGCTCACAGTCGTCCTGGGCTGGAGCTAGCTTTACAAAAGCAGAGAGCTGGGTGTTGACTTTCTGAAGCCATGCCCTACTGGTTATTAGAAAACTCTTTGGCATTTTAAACTCCTTTCTCCTTCTTGACATTGAAATTTAATATCATGGAATTGACACCAAATGATGATGTCAGGCCTTTGGGTTGTGACACCATCTGTTGGCAGCCTGGCTTTGGAGCTTCTCCCAGTTGAATTTTGCTGCCTTAAAGCAGAAGGGAAGGAGTAGTGCATTTGTTAAGAAGAAGATGCTCGAAACTTTGAGTGGACCTGCTTTCAGCACACTTGTTTTTCAGGTCAGAATACTATATCCAGTGATCAAGCCAAACATGAAATGCTTCGAGTAGGACTCAGCATTCGTACTTAGATATTTGCAGATCACTGGGTCTAATAATACCCTTCTTCTCTTTTGTTGTCAGCAATGGAAGAGTTAATAGTTGAACTTCGTCTCTTTCTTGAACTCCTGGACCATGAATATCTAACCTCAACTGTCAGGGAGAAAAAGGCAGTGATAACCAACATTCTGCTGAGGATACAGTCATCCAAAGGTGAGTCTCATTCTGACGCCTGCTTTTTCTTCTTACAGTGTCTTGGCTTCTAAACCGTCTTTAATTTTACCGTCTTTCTAAGATATATTTGTTTGTTCTTTAACTTACAAACTTATTTATTCATCAAGTTTTCATTGAGGGTTTACACTTGTGCCAAGTTCTGTGTTGGCCGCAAGGTGTAGAAAGATAAAGCTTTGAAGGAGCTAATGGAATCGTGTGTTGGGAGTCCCCAGGGCAACCCCAGCGTTTGGAGATTACCTGGAAGGACTCACCGGACAGGTTGTTCTTTCTCACGTGCAGGATGCACTGCAGCCGTAGTGAGGATGCACAGCCCGACGGGCAGATTGGGAGGGAGAAGACACAGGCGGAACGTGCAGGAACCTATAGGCCAGCTTCTGTGTGCTCTGTCCCTCCCACGAGGGTCACACAGAGCACACTCTCTCTCCAGCAATAAAAACGCAGTAAGCTCTGAGTGACGTTTTTGTTCAGGCTCGTCAGAGACTCAGTGGCCAGGGTGTTTCCTTGGGTCTGGTCCTCTAGGCACCCTCTGCCTGGCACACACCAGAATTCCAGGACAGGCAGGGTTTCAGCACAACCGTGTTGTTTACATAAACAGTACAGGCACAGTGAACCACCCTTGTCCATCAGGGAATGGTGGGAGCACTTCTGAAATCCACGTTCCCAGAGGCCAGCCAGGGCCAGCCTCACAAGCAGGCCCCGCTGGAGAAAGCAGCCTTGGGCCTGCTGTGTTAACTCTTTCATGCACAGTGAGTAGGACGAAAAAACAGGCAATGAGAAAGCCCGCTAAGTACTGCTGTGGAGAGCCCAGAGCCTCATGAGAGCGCCTAAGAAGTGAGTCCACACCAGGTGAGTGAGAGACTGGGGTGTCGGAGGGTCTGAGGAGGGTTCCTGGATGATGTGATGTGAGAATCTTGAGGACTCTGTGGAGGTAATCTGCTGGATGAGATGGAGGATTTTTCTTTTCAACCTCGTTATTGAGATGTGATTCACAGGCCATGCACTTCACCATTTACAGTGTACAATTCATTTATACGTTTATGTGAATTCTCTTAGTATATGAAGCCATGTATGACACGATTCGATTTGCATTCTGGAAAGCTCGCCTGGCCAGTCTGGAAGATGGGCTGAAGGATTTGGTAGCAGTTTGAACGTGGGTGGCTTGGGGAAACCTGGGTGGGCGATGGGGCCTGTTACTCAGATGAGAAAGCAGGATAGGGACCCTATTCTGAGGCAACATGAAATATTAACTTTTTTTTTGTTTTTTTCTTTGAGACAAGGTCTCACTGTCTCGCAGGCTGGAGTGCAGTGGTGTGATCACTGCTCACTGCAGCGTTGACCTCCCAGGCTCAGGTGATCCTCCCACCGCAGCCTCCCTAGTAGCTGGGACTACATGTGTGCACACCACAACACCCAGCTAGGTTATTTTTGTAGCTGAGTGTTTGCCATGTTGTCCACGCTGGTCTTGAACTCCTGGGCTCAAGCAGTCTGCCCGCCTTGGCCTCCAAAAGTGCTGGGATTATAGGCATGAGCCACTGCGCCTGGCCTGAAATGTTCACTTCTGAAGTAATTTTGTTACTTCCCTGCTCAGACTCTTTCATCTGTCAGCCTTTGCCTCTGGTCACGGTCAGACTCCTTCGGCCGTCCTGCAAGGTCCTTTGTCATAGGTGGTTATGAGTATGAACTCCAAAGTTAAACTGGCTTTTTGATTCTGGCCCTACCTGTTACCAAACGTGCAACCTTTCACAGGTTACTTACACTTTTTTTACTTTAGTTTCCTCCTTGTAGAAAAAGTGCTAATGGTATTGACCTTATGGGATGTTGTGCGGATTGAATGAGATGGTATCAAATATTTCAAAACAGTGCCTGATGCATAGTACGTATGTCAGCCATTGATGACCGTTTGCTTTCCCCTGATTTCCTGTCCTCCCTTCCCCTGCCAATTGAGCTCCAGCACTGGTCTCTTCACGCTTCCTTCTGGATGAATCTCCTGATATTTTTCAATTCATGAATTCTTTCTTCAGCTCTTTAATCTGCTTTAAACTGATCTATTGATTTTGTGTATGCATGTGTCATTTATCCTTTTCCTTTCTTGCATTTGTTTGTTTGTTTGCTTGTTTGTTTGCAGTTCTCTACCAAAGTTCTTTTCTCCATTGCAGCTCCTGGGACTCAGACACTGGGTCTTTCCGTGTTTCAATTCCTGGCCTCTAGCGTAGTACTAAACCCATTATAGGTGCTCGTTGTTAAGTCAGTATTTTTACAGGCCTTTCCAAGTGAGTGTTAGGCGTATAAAGAGTACTGTGCCCAGATTAAAACTTGCTTCTCCCTTCTTCCTGCCTGCACTGGTGTCGTGTTCATCACCTTTCCTAGTAGTTCGTTGTGTATGTATTTGTCTTTCCAACTTGAATATGAGTGCCCAAGAGGTGTGAGCTTGTATCAGTCATGTCTTCCATAAAGTATGGCTGTGACAGTATCTGACTTTAAGAAGATACTTAATAAAAATTTATTGATTCCCAGGAAGGTGTCTATTCTGTTACTACATGGGTGAGTCCTGCCTGCCCTGAGCAGAAGCTGAGAGGGAGCAGCTTTCCCTTTGAGACGCAGCACGGCGCTGAGGGGCATGTCCCCCATTTCCATCTATGAGTGCTTTCATTAGTTTCTTAGCTTCCCTTCCCCTTCCCTTTCCCCTTCCCCTTCCCCTTCCCTTGCCCCTTCCCCTTCCCCTTCCCCTTCCCTTTCCCTTTTCCCTTTCCCCTTTCCTTTCCCCTTCCCCTTCCCCTTCCCTTTCCCCTTCCCTTTCTCCTTCCCCTTCCCTTCCCCCTTCCCTTTCCCCTTCCCCCCTTCCCCCCTCCCCCTTCCCCCCTTCCCCCCTTCCCCCTTCCCCCCTTCCCCCTTCCCCCCTTCCCCCTTCCCCCTTTCCTTTCCCCTTCCCCCTTCCCCTTTTCCTTTCCCCTTCCCCCCTTCCCCCTTCCCCCTTTCCTTTCCCTTCCCCCCTTCCCCCCTTCCCCCTTTCCCCCTTTCCCCTTCCCCCTTCCCCCTTCCCCCTTCCTTCCCTTCCCCTTTCCCCTTCCCCCTTCCCCCTTTCCTTTCCCCTTCCCCCTTCCGCTTTCCCCCTTCCCTTTCCCCCTTCCCCCTTCCCCCTTCCCCTCCCCCTTCCCCCTTCCCCCTTCCCCCCCCCCTTCCCCCTTCCCCCTTCCCTCCCCTTCCCCCTTCCCCCTTCCCCCCTTCCCCCTTCCCCATTTCCCCCTTCCCCCCTTCCCCCTTCCCCCCCTTCCCCCTTCCCCCTTCCCCCCTCCCCCCTTCCCCCTTCCCCCTTCCCCCCTTCCCTTTCCCCTTCCCCCTTCCCCCCTTCCCCCTTCCCCCCTTCCCCCTTTCCCCTGTTCCCCTCCTCTCCTCTCCTCTCCTCTCTTTTCTTTTCTTTTCGTTTTCTTTTCTTTCACTTTGTTTAAGCTGTCGGTTCTTTACCTGTAAAATGGAGAAGAATAATACCTAACCCTGCAAGACTGTTGTAAAGGATTAGAAAAAATAAATATTTGCAAAGTGTTCAACACAGGGTTCAGGAACTGATAGATGCTAGTGATACCATTCTCATCCCCATTCTCATCCAGTTTTGTGGTTCTGGTTAATTCTTACAGGTTTTGATGTGAAAGACCATGCTCAGAAGCAGGAGACCGCTAGCAGCCTGCCAGCCCCTCCTCAGATGCCCCTGCCGGAGATCCCTCAGCCCTGGCTGGTGAGTCAAGGCCCCACCATCTCAGCGGTCTGTGCTGGAGGCCTGGGGGTACTTACGGGCTCCAGGGGCCTGTGATGGAAGCCCAGTGTGGAAGAATGGAGCTCTTATTTTGCTCGAGGCACTCCTTTGAGTCTATTTGTAGGGCTGAGAAGCTGTTAGTGATAGCTAGTTGGTAGACTAAGTGTAGCCTCCCCTTAGGAAGCTAGCATTTCTTTGCACTGCCTCACACCACCATAAATTATGTATAGCAGGAGCTACAAATCCATAGACATCTTATGTCAGATTAAGAAAAACGAAAATGAGGGGATTTAACAGATAAAAGTATCTGTAGACCTTGTGGACTTGACCCTCTTCTGAGTTAATTCTGAAGTTGAATACCTTATTCTGAAACTTTAATAGTCGTTGTTAGACTTCTGGGGTTAACTATCCATATTTTTTCCAAGAGAGAAAAATATGTACATATTTCAGGAATGTATACTTTAGTTTCATGCATTCAAATTCAAAATTTGTGTTTTTAAAAAAGTCTGGCGACGCCCACAAACACAAACTTTTATGTATCATTCAACTTTTTCTACATTTGGCCGTTTTCTAACTTGTTTACTCAGGGAATTCAGAGTGTCATTCAAAGTTGGGGCAAAATCGGTAGCAATTGTCATCCTGTGTTTGCTTTCAGTGTGAATCTTCTGATGATCTCTCTGCCAGGATAGGAACGGTGGGAAGGCAGGGCTGTTTCTCATTCACCTCCGCTCTGCCTGGGCCTGGCGCAGTGCTCAGGAGTCTTGGAGGGACTCAGGGATTCTCACTGCAGTGGGTACAGAGGGAAACGAGCACTTACGGAGTGCCTGCCACACACCACCGTAAATTACAACTCATTAACTCCCACAACTCGGCCTCGAAGAACCCCTAGCACTTCTTACCAGGGGAAGCATATGTACACCCATTTTTTTTTTTTTTTTTTTTTTTTGAGATGGAGTCTCGCTCTGTCACCCAGGCTGGAGTGCAGGGGCCGGATCTCAGCTCACTGCAAGCTCCGCCTCCCGGGTTCATGCCATTCTTCTGCCTCAGCCTCCTGAGTAGCTGGGACTACAGGCGCCCGCCACCTCGCCCGGCTAATTTTTTGTATTTTTAGTAGAGACGGGGTTTCACCATGTTCGCCAGGATGGTCTCGATCTCCTGACCTTGTGATCCGCCCGCCTCGGCCTCCCAAAGTGCTAGGATTACAGGTGTGAGCCACCGCGCCCGGCCTTGAGGCTCAGTGAAGGTGTGTGGTTTACTTAACATCATAAAATAAGTAGAGAGGGCAGAGTTTGCAACACTTGTTTCAAATTCATGCTTTTCTCAGCAATACTAGTTCAGAGGTGTGGCCGCAAATCAGATGCAAGCGTGCTTCAGACAGGAGAAGACTCTGAGCGTTGAGCCTGTCCAGCGAAGCGGAGTCCAGGGAGGCCACAGGCCGCAGGGGCAGTTCAGGAGCAAGGCCGCCTGCTTCCCACTCCCACGCTGCCTCAGACTTCTCGTATGATTTGGGGAGATTAATGTAACCTCTGTGCCCCAGGATTGTCCAGGAGATGGAAAGAGCAAATATATCTCAAGTGCTTAGGATTTGTTTATTTATATATTTATTTATTTAGAGACAGAGTCTTGCTCTGTTGCCCAAGCTGGAGTGCAGTGGCACATCTCAGCTCACTGCAAGCTCCACCTCCCGGGTTCATGCCATTCTCCTGCCTCAGCCTCCCAAGTAGCTGGGACTACAGGCGCCCGCCACCGCGCCCAGCTAATTTTTTATTTTTTATTTTATTTTATTTTATTTTTTTTTGAGACGGAGTCTCGCTGTGTCGCCCAGGCTGGAGTGCAGTGGCCGGATCTCAGCTCACTGCAAGCTCCGCCTCCCGGGTTCATGCCATTCTCCTGCCTCAGCCTCCCGAGTAGCTGGGACAACAGGCGCCCGCCACCGCACCCGGCTAGTTTTTTGTATTTTTTAGTAGAGACAGGGTTTCACCGTGTTCGCCAGGATGGTCTCGATCTCCTGACCTCGTGATACGCCCGTCTCGGCCTCCCAAAGTGCTGGGATTACAGGCTTGAGCCACCGCGCCCGACCTAATTTTTTATATTTTTAGTAGAGACGGGTTTTCAGCGTGTTAGCCAGGAGGGTCCCGATCTCCTGACCTCGTGATCCACCTGCCTTGGCCTCCCAAAGTGCTGGGATTATAGGCGTGAGCAACCGCGCCCGGCCGCTTAGGATATATTTAAGTCCTGGACTCTAACCCCTCCTCAGAGCAGCACTTTTCAAACTTTAGCCTTCAGCTAACCACCAGCCATCTTAAAGTACAGATTCTGGTTCACCAGGTGTGGATGGGGCCTTTGATGCTGCCCTTTTCTCTTCCCTCCTCTCCCCTTTGCTACTCCCCTCCCCCTTCCCCTCCCCTCTCCTCTCCCCCACTCCCCTCCCCCACTCCCCTCCTCCCCTCCCCTCTTTCCTCTTTCCTCCTTCCTCCGTAGGGTCTTGCCCTGTCACCCAGGCTGGAGTGCAGTGGCACATCCATACCTCACTGCAGCCTCAACATCTTGGACTCAAGCAGTCCTCTCTCCTCAGCCTCCCAAGTAGCTGGGATTGCAGGTGTGAGCCACCATGCCCAGCCAAATGTTTAATTTTTTTTTTTTTTAATTGAAAAAGGGTCTCACTGTGTTACTGTCTTAAACTCCAGGCCTTCAGTGATCCTCCTGCCTTTGCCTTCCAAAATGCTAGGATTACAGGTGTGACCCACCCCACCTGGCCACATTTGCTGTTTTTAGATATAATGTGATATTAAAGTCCAGAAATATGTAATTGTTAATTTAAAAGATGAAGAGCTAGATGGGAAATCAGTAGTTCTTCCATTTTCTGGCTTCATCTTCTGGTTTATTTTCATTTTTTCTTTGTGAGATTGTCTGGAATCTCTGGCTCCCCTGTGATGGATCTTATATTTCATCGTCACATGTCATATTGGGAAAGATGTTCTGAGATGGAGCGGGAACTGAGAACAGTTAGAAGCAGCCGGGGCTGGGTGCGCTGGCTCACACCTGTCATCCCAGCACTTTAGGAGGCCGAGGCGGGTGGATCGCCTGAGCTCAGGAGTTCAAGACTAGCCTGGGCAACACAGCAAAACTCCACCTCTATAAGAAATACAAAAATTCGCCGGGTGTGGTGGTGTGCAGCTGTGTGTGGTCCCAGCTACTTGGGAGGCTGAGGTGGGAGGATCACTTGAACCCGGGAGGTGGAGGTTGCCATAAGCCAAGATGGCACCATTGCACTCCAGCCTGGGAGACCAGGGGACACTCCGTCTCAAACAAAAACCTGCTGGGCGTGGTGGCTCACACCTGTAATCCCAGCACTTTGGGAGGCCAAGGTGGGCGGATCACCTAAGGTCAGGAGTTCGAGACCAGCCAGCATGGCCACCATGGTGAAACCCCGTCTCTACTAAAACCAAAAAATTAGCTGGACGTGGTGTTGGGTGCTTGTAGTCCCATCTACTTGGGAGCCTGAGGCAGGAGAATCGCTTGAACCCCGAAGGCGGAGGTTGCAGTGAGTCGAGATCGAGCCACTGCACTCCAGCCTGCATAACAAGACCGAGACTCCATCTCAAAAAACAAAACAACACAAAACAAGACCACAAAACCAAAACAAAAGAAGCAGCTGGAAGAGTAGCAGTGGTCCTGTGACTGTCGTGGACTCTTCTCTAGTGCTGCTGCAGTACCCTCCCACCTGCTGCGGACCAAACTGCATGTCCCTGACATGCCTGCTGGGTGGAGCGGAGGGATGCCAGTTTCAGATGAAGAGTTCTCATGACTGCTCAGCATTTTCTACCATTTTCAACCATCGAATGATTGATTCGTTTCTGTGTTGTCTTCTTCCAATATGGTTTATTACTTATTCATTCATTCATCCTCTTTCTCCCTCTCTCATCCTCTCTCCTTATCTCTTGCTTTCCCCTGGCCTGTGATCTGCTCCTGCCTTTGGCAGGAAAATGGTTGTGGCAAACTAGCCTGGGTTAAGGTATTTATGAGGCCCTTCTGTTATAATCATAAGTGGTCATTCAAAAATGTTGGTTAAGGTAAGAAAATTTTAAAAAGATATACATTACATGTGCTTTAAATATGTTAAGTTTAAATGAATGATTTAAATGTTGGAATTACAGGTGTGAGCTGGAGTGCAGTGGTGCGATCTCAGCTTACTGCAAGCTCCGCCTCCCAGATTCAGGCCCTTCTCCTGCCTCAGCCTCTCGAGTAGCTGGGACTACAGGCGCCTGCCACCATGCCTGGCTAATTTTTTGTATTTTTAGTAGAGACGGGGTTTCGCCGTGTTAGCCAGGATGGTCTCGATCTCCTGACCTCGTGATCCGCCCGTCTCGGCCTCCCAAAGTGCTGGGATTACAGGCGTGAGCCACTGCGCCCGGCCCTCTGATAGTTTTTTTTAATCACTGCTACTCTTCCAGCTGAATTTGGGATTCAGCAAGTCAGCTAGTCAATAAGTACATTAAGTTTGCCTTTAGTGAATTGGCTTTGGGCTAGTTGGCTGTTTTGCTATTGGTGAATTGACTTTCAAGAGAATTTGCTTATTGTGGGGTTAAGATGGAATGGGTAGGCAGCTGTGCCAGGCAGAGGGTGTGCTGTAAATTAAAGCACAAGCCAGAAAAACAGCCAGGTATACTAGGAGCGTTGCAGATAGCTCTGCCTTGCTGGATAATGGGATTTGGGCAGGAAATCCACACATGAGGCCAGATTTCTCTGCAGAGACTAAATTACAAAGGACCTGTGGGTTGTGATGAGAAGTTGGGGATGTGTTGTGAAACAGACAGTAGCCGTCGAAGGGCACTTTCAGTGTACGATTTGCTTCAGCTGGGTTCTGTTTCCCATGCATTGAACCACGAGTGCACTTTATTTTTACCTCGTTTGTGGCATGAATTGAATATTGCCTTTTGTCATAGTGTTTCATGGTATAAACTCTTTAACAAATAAGGTTA